AATCTCCAGAGAAAGAAATGTTTTTAAAGATGATGAACAGTCTTAGTGCTTTGGTACAAAATCAACATTAGACATAAGACACTAAATATATAGACACGTACATGTGCATACACGTGCACGCATGCACACACACACACTAACCAGCTCTGATGGCACCTTGCTGTGGTTAGAAGAACAGAATGAAGAATTTCCAGAGGGATTCAAGTTGGATCAATTCCTGAAATATCAACAACAGCATTGGCCAAAAGTGTAAGATCTAAAAGGAGGTCACTGAGCGTAATGAGAGCATATTTGGCTGCAGACCAGGAGCCAAGCTATAAGGAGAAAGAAAAATGTAGTGCAATGATTTTGTTAAAGAAATTCAGGATTATATTTTAACTTAAGTTTTACCATTGAAAATGCTAAAAATGGCAGGGGAAACTCTTGAGACCACGCTGTTTGTGATAGTTACTTTTTTTAATTCAAGAGACAAATATTAACTGACTTTACCAAAGACATATGCCTAGGTGTCATCAGGGAAGCATAGAGGAGAAGACATAGTCTTTACTTTCCATCTGATTTGCTCATAATCTAGCAGAAATAATAGTATCATAGTAACACAGCAAATATTTACACAGAACAGCGATTACTCTGTCAGTCACTGTTCTAGGTGCTTTAAATGTATAAATAATTTACAGCAACCTGTGAGGTTGGTGAGATAGGCAAGGACCTAAGTCTGATAATGTCATCCAGTAGGGGGCCCTAATTGCTCCTGGAGCCTGATGAATCCCTGCTTGTTACAGCAGAAGGGAATGGGTGGTAGATGGGTGTGGCCTTGAGTTCACATGGTGTGTCTGCCCCATAGGACACATGTAATTTTGAACTTTCACTGGAACTCTTTGCTATTTAGTTGTTGCATCAGTTAATAATACCAACCTTGCATCTTTTTTAATGCATGTTAAAGATGTGTGTAAAACTCCTTATTCGTAGTTAGCTCTCAATATAAAGAAGTTGTTTTATTAGTTAGGTAAGGGGTGATGGGAACACGCATAAAGAAGGTGGTGTTTGTCTTGGAAAGATTTCAACCAGAGAAACGGCAGACAAAATTATGAGAAAGAAAGCAGGTGATGTGCACTGGGAGATACAAAGTGTGCTGTTTATAGTGAACAGTTCATTTTAATTCTAGTAAAAGGGGTGAGAGGAAGAGGGCTGAGCATCTAGTCTGGAAAGATAGGCTTATTATTTTGGGCTCCTTCGATCAGGGATTATCAAACGACTGCCTGCCTGGTTTTGTACAGCTCAGGAGCTAAGGATGGTTTTACGATTTTAAATGATTGAAAAAAATCGAAAGAAGAATGTTGTATGATACGTGAAAGTTATATAGAATTCAAATTTCAGCGCCTGTAAGTGAGGTGTTATTGGCACACAGCCACACTAATTCATTTACATGTGGCAGAAAATGCATAGCCAATGAAGCCTGATTATTTACCATCTGGTCCTTACAGGAAAAGGTTGCCGACTCCTGTCTTAGTTATAATGCTTACTTTTTTTAATCCTAGAGTTCATCATCCTTTGGTGGCAATAAATTTAAACAACCTGTTTTATAGTTTGGGAAAGAACATACCAAACAAGCTGCTTCTCTCTTTCAGTGTCTCTGAAACAGATGAAAAAGCAGCTTCTGGAGGTCCAGAATGGCTCCCTGGTATCCCTGGTTTGGGTCTGTGTGACTCACTTTAATTCCAGGTTCCCTAACCCGAGAACCCATGAGTGCAGCATGAGTCACCTCTGCCCTCTGTGGGCCCCCAGTGCCATGGCCCCGGGGAAGGATAGAGTGTGTGTCCTTGGAATGTGGGCAAGTGACTCTGCAACCTTCTCCCTCAGCTCTGCCCCTCTGGGACAATAAACTGCCTTCTCTAAAAAAAAAAAAAAATAATCTATTAAAAAAGATGCAAGGTGGGTATTATTAACTGATGCGAAAACTAAATAGCAAAGAGTTCCAGTGAAAGTCCAAAATTACATGTGTACCAGGTGGCAGACACACTGTTGCTTGCTATTGTGGGCAACAGTGTGAACAGTGTTTTGGTTAAATTTCCAATGATATATAGTCTCCAGTGAGACAGAGTTTCAAATACTGAATAGAATCTGTTTAGATGTTACTTGTTACTTTTACCTCCTTTTTCTTTCCTTCTCCTTTGTCTTTCCTCAATTGTTATTTTAATTTTTTCCCCAAGTATAACTCTGCTCATTAGATCTAATAGTTGTGGAATGTATTGCTTATATAGAATTCAATAAGAAAGAGAAACAGGAATTAAAATTTTATTGCAAAAGCCTTTTTTTCAATTTGTTTAACAATCCTATCCATCACACTACACCCCTCTTTGAAAACTAGATGTCTGGCTTATTCTGATTTGCTCTGAAAATCATTTTATGTAGCAATTCCTTTTGTCTGTAATCTTGATTCATAGCCTTTGATATAAATTCTTTTATGGCTCTATTTTCATAATAGCTTTTAGGCAACCAATCATCATGCATGGTACTGTGTTTCTTTATGACTCAGTGGCATCCAGATGTCTATACCCCATGTTGTTGCCTCTTAGACACATCTAAAAAAACTAGTTGCTATAAAATAATTGCACTCATTTGTGCAGTAAATTTTAAATTATTCTTTCATAAGTCAGTCAAACTTTTACTTGCATACAGAAATAGTTGGTTTCCTTTTTGGTAAACCTGAATGACTATCTTAAAAGTTGTGGTTTTGAATTGATTTAAAAGGAGATGGTAAACGGTATTTTTTTAACACATTCTATCATACATGGATGTAATATATGAAAATAGGATTTCTCTCACAATTTGTCAGTTTTATAAGAAATATAGGAACAAGCGGAATAGGCTAACTCCAAGCTATTTGTGAGTATGTTTAGAGTTTCTAAGTGCATTTAGGTAAATAAGAATGCTCTATTTTATTCTCAGCAGTACCCATATTAAATATTGGATTTCCTGTATATGCCCAAGAAAATTTTAATGATGAGGTCAGGTTTCTTATAAGAGAATTTACATCACAATTACCTGATGAACCTTTTAAAAATACATAAGCTTGTGCCTCATCTGCTGAATCAAAATCTTGGAAGGAGCAGGCGTGTGTTAGAAAGTTTCCCAGGTGGTTCTGATTCTCACCTTTGGTTGAGAATAGAAATATTTTTAGATATTAGACAAAAAAGGTAACCTCATAAAAACATTAAGGAATTTGTTAATAAAGTGTGGTTTAGGATACTGTCTGCCATGTGCCCCAGCATTTTTATATGAAACCTCAGACAAGAATTAAAACTGCATTTTCCCATCGCAAGTCCATGAAATTTTTTGTTGTCAAGAAAAACAAAGACTCTTTCTTTCCCCATCTCCCACTTTGGCCATCAGGATTTTCTGTGGCAAAGGTATAGCTCAATTTTAAGGTTCTTGTGGTTTGGATATCTGCATTCTAGCTTTTTCTAATTCAACAAGAATTCATTGACCCCTTTCTCCATACCAAATTCATAGCAGGCACTGAGAACGCTAGTAATGAACAGAACAGTCTGCAGCTTACAATCTACTGGATGAGACAGATGTTAAGCAAATAAACATTTCAGGAAGTACTTCCTGGTTGAGATATTTTAAACTCATTTTAAGTATTTGATTTATATATTTTTCCTTCAGTATTGGCCAGAGATAAGCCATGGAATCTCATTAGTAATATTTATGTGTGGATACACACACATGCATATACAGTATATATTTTTATATTTTATATGTACATGGGCACATGTATATATGTGTGTCATATTTTATATAAATAATATATATATATACATGTCATATATATAGCATATACACACATAAAGTGTATATATATCCTGTTTTATATTTATATAACTACACTGTTTTATTTATTTTAATCAGCATCACATGCTGTGGGATGGGTTGGAATACAAGCATACCTACATGTGTACACACACACGTGCCCATAATCCTGATGGATGAATTTGGATTACAATTCTCAATATAACATTTTAGCCCATTTTTCTTAATGCTTTTTTGTTAAATACTGACAAGTAAATTATGCTTTATATTTGAAAATATTTCTGTCAATTTCCTTTTAAAATTTTTGTTTTACATCATTAAATGTAAATAATATTTGGGGACAGTTTTTCAGTGGTGACATTGAGATGGAAAGTCACAAAAAGCTGTGACTCTGTGTCCCTTGAAGAAAGAAAAGCATGTTATTGTCACAAACAACTTCAACGTGTTGTGTATATAGTTCTTTTTTTCACAGATGGTGCTTCTCTAGTACAACATTTAATTGCCTTACAACTTTTTTAAGCTACCATATGGTTTGACTTGGGTCACTCTACAGACTAGAGATTCTGGAATATAACTGTCAACCATCTAATATAAATAAGAGAGATATATTGTATACTGGTGGAGGAATAGCGAAAGGAGAAGCAGTGGGTGCTTCATCAAGAAAAATCGGCTGTGTTTTCAGACTGCACAGCCTTAACATGCCATCTCCGCAGCTGTGGCTGCATTTGGAGCACCTGAAAGCTCAAAATTGTGATAGAGTCCCCCAAATCAATGAAAATGGCCTTTTAAAGGAGAAATTCAGTGGGAAGTTATATCTTTTTTCCTTTTAATGTGCCCCCCTGGATAGTGCAGTTAAATTACATAGTTGAAGAATATTGTCTGATGTCCCTATTGGAAAAGATTTTTAAGTCTTATCCTCTTTCACATGCTATTCTGAAGACCTGCATTTGCCCCTGCAACGTATGGCAGCAAAGTGGATGAAGTTAGCGCAAAAGCACTTACCGTTGTCTGTGAGCCAGAAAAGGACAAGGATTCTGATTGGCATTATTATTTATTATTTTTGAATGCTGATGATGCATTTTCGTAGCTGAGTCCTTTCAATGCTTATTGACATTCATAAATGAAGAGGCTCTGCTTTGCTGACTATTTAATTGGCAATTTGATTTTCCTAATAACTTGCTTTACAGGACCTGGATTTTGAAGCCAAAACAAGTTATACGCTACGGATAGAGGCTGCAAACAAAGATGCTGACCCTCGCTTCCTGAGCTTGGGGCCCTTCAGCGACACGACAACCGTGAAGATCATTGTGGAAGATGTGGACGAGCCCCCTGTGTTTTCCTCCCCCTTGTACCCCATGGAGGTGTCGGAAGCTACCCAGGTTGGGAATATCATTGGCACTGTAGCAGCTCATGACCCAGATTCTTCCAACAGCCCTGTGAGGTAAAAGCTCATCGCGCTCCTTTTCTGCGGCTTTGTAACAATGTGCTTTATTCACAACTCATGTTTCTGCGTTATGATGCTTTTGGTTCATAGCAAACAAAAACTAGTTTTGCATATGTATTGAGCCATAACAGCAGAAGTGAAACAGGGTCAGAACAACTCAACATTTTACTAATTCAGAAATGTGTCATCTGATTATCCAAGGCCATTACTATGGAGCAATATTTTTAGGCATCCATTATTATCCATAAGCCATAGCTGATGTTCCTATTCAACCAATTATTCGGAGCACTTTCGAAGCAAACTCTGTTCAAAGATGAAGTGATGCATGTCCTACTTGTAGGATAAATGCGTATGTTAGAAAACTAATTTTATAAAGAATTTAATTAGGCATTAATTTTAAAAAATCATGTTTCATGTTGGTCTATTTGGATAGCATATGTTTAGTTTATTATTTTCTCTTATAAAAGATAAAATACTATCTGTGTATAAAAACTATTTAAAAATATTCTTTCAGTAGTCATGTATCGAGACTAGACACATTGTTATAAACAGCTAACCTCTTTAGGACTAAGAAATGATGATATGTAAACATTTAAAAATATCACCACATTTCACTTCATACTTTTTACCTAAAATTTACATTCTGAGGCCTATGTATATATTTTGGTTTATGCATGTGTCCGTGTGCATATAATAAATTTTCTTCTTAAATGAATATTATATGTGGAAGATTCTTGAAGTTACATTTTATTATATGTCTTAATTCGAGTTTCTAACGAAGACTTTTCAGTGTGACAGTTTGGATTTTGATTGCAAAGTACAAAACTCAATGAATGTTTTATATTCAGATATGTTCAGCTTATAAGCTAACCATAGCCTTGTAGATTTAACTCATATTTAACAACGCTAAGTGTTTTTGAGCTAACTTCTGAGCTAAGTCTGGACATTAACTACAAAGTGTCACGAAAAAGATCTATAATTTAGACAATGATTCTTAATTAAGAACAGCTCATCATCTTTTTCCTCCATAAAATAATAAGCTGATTTTGGCCTGTATATATAATTACCACTCTCCTTTTCTTCTCTTTTGCCTGACATTAATATCATAGCCTAGTAAAGAGTTGGTGTAGAATAATTGCTATTTTAAAAATGAAGTCATGCTCATTGTTTTTCTACCTATACAACAAATACACGCTAAATGGATGGCTGTATTAATGCAGTGATCATAAACCATTCCTAAGAATATACTCTCCTGTGCCCTAGAATATTTGCGAGTCACAGGTGTACCAGATAGAATCAGCCTTCCCCTCCTCCCTGTCATAGCCCAGCCTTCATTTTCAAAACAGCTCCCTGACTTCAGCTCAGCTCCATTCACGAAGTCTTAGTGACTTGGACAAACTTCACTTTGGGTTTTGTTATTGCATCCCATCTCGTGGTGACACAATCAAGTCTTCTTCCCCCATGAACAGTCAACCACAGTACCACTGCAGGTGCATAGATCAGCTATTCAGGGTAGTCTGACTTCTGCTTAAGTCGTTTAATTTAATGGGGAGAAAGAGAGAATGCGTTTGTGAAGTTGGGAACGTGGAAAAAGAAAGAGACACACTAATGCATAGCACAGTTCAGTACTTCAGTGAGTGAGAGGATTTAAGAAAATTTTGATTTATTGCACTGATATATTTGTCTTGTTTTTTATTTTTCCCTCACCCATTTCCTTGTGTATCATCCTGTTAAAACCTTTCAGAGTAAATATTTCACTTTTCATAATATTTTATTTGAAAATAAAAGCAATATTACACAATAATTTGGGGAACAAGAAGGAAGAGGAGGCCCAAGTGGGTAGTAGCTTGAGTTCAAGATGAAGTGAGCTCATGTACACTTTGTTCTTCTCTTTTCCCATGTGGAAACTGGAAGCCAAAGGTGGAAATTAGGCGATACTTGAGATTACTTCGGTAGAAAAAAAAGAAGAGGTTTTCTTAAAAGAAAAAGTGGGTAATTGAGGGTCAGCATGTTTCTGGCTTTTTATTTCTTATGTAGTTGCTTACCATTTCCTGTAAATATTGGCCCTGAATACCACATCAGGCTTTATCTATTGAACTTGGAAGGACAGATTGTGTTCCACTGATTTTGATCATCTTTCTGAATGGTAGAAACTTCACTTCTGTGTTTCTCATCAATAAGATGGTAAAAACTGTGAGAGCAGCCTAGAGTCTAGAGGACTATTCTTTCCTCACATCAGCATTGGTAGACCGATCAATAAATCAACATACATTTATTAAGAACCTGCTCTGTGCACGACACTGGGGAAAATACTGACAGGAAAAACAAAGATGAATAAAACATTCCCTCTGACCTCAAGGAACTTACAATCTGGTTGAAGAAATAAGATCTCATAAAAGTTAACTAATATGAGAGGGAAAAATGCCAGAGCTGTAACATGACAAATTGCGAGATCAGTAGTAATCTCTCAGAGTTCGCGGACATGAGGCTCCATTTGAAGGGTGATAGCATAAGCTGGGCTTTGAGGGATGGCAGGATCCAGACAAGCCAAGAAAACAGTATGCAAAGCCTGTTTATGTTTTATTTACTTATATCCGAAGAGTCTAGTGCTATATTATGAAATCAGCAAATTTATTTCCGTAGGCAGCACAGCAAGCCCAAAGTCCTTAGGCTAAAAATAGCCAATGAATTGAAACATGGTATTATTACAAATAAGATCAGATGTGAAGAGGGGTGATAAAAAGTAATAGGGATCATTTTAAAAAATTCTAACGATTTAAGTGCAGAACTATATTTGTACTTATGTTCAAGGATACTAGGATAATAATATTTACCTGCAGTCTCTTTTGGCATTCCTGGTATTGTATGTCCTCAGATAAAAGGTGATAAAATAGTATCAGATATGACATTATGTAGTGTGACTAGTATGAACACATTTGGGGTGTTTACTAATTCACTGTGTATTGTTAAGTAGCTTGTCTGCATGCAAATATTTGTACATATTACTTTATTTGTGAGTTCTCAAAGAATTAAAGGAAAAGTTGAATAGCCTGTCTTCAGAAGAGAGGATTAAGGTTTCTCTATAAATCTGGGCAGCAAGAAAGAGCAGACAGTCTTTTCAGGAAGCAGCAGGGGGTTGAACCAGTGCCAACTCTTTTCTTTTCTGTGGCCCTCTGTGTGCGGTTCACATTTCTTGGAAAGTGTTTTGGCCTCCCTTAGGACATGTGTCACCTTTTACTAGGGAAGTCTTGGGCATCTTGATTGTGAGTACCATCAAGATTTCAGGAGATTGGGAAAGCTTCAATCCTCAAAGGAAAATTGAGTTGCCATTATCAGAAGAACGGGATGAGGATGCAAACAGTGGCATCACTAAGTACTGGATGCAATAGTTTATTTTGAAGTGATTTATTTCTCATTGAAGCCCTATAAAGCAAGTATTAACATTGCTTTGTTATAGATAAACATGCCCCATTAGACAGTTAGAAAACCTAGTTCCATGATTTTAGCAAAGTCTGTCTCAAAAGCTGTGCACTCCTTGCAGCAATACACACATACACATGCACAAATTTCTTAAGAGATTACGATTTCAACTCAAGGGATTCAGCTATTTCTATTGATCAGATTTGTCCATGCTTATTTAGTACATTATCTTTTACCATCTGGGGAGTCGTGATGATACATTTGTGTTAATCTAGCCCACTCTATTTGTGAACAGTGACATGCATATCAGTAGCCAGGTGATAAGAATGCTACTTGTGAACGTGAAGAAGAGCATTTTAATTGATCCCTATTGTTTATTGAACAGCAGCAATGATAATAACAGGCATTTATGAGGGATTCAGTTGTAGCAGATGTGCAGAACATTGAGGATATACAGATGTGCAAGACATGGTTCCAACACCCTTGTTATCTAGCTGTAGAAGAGATCTTACATGAAAATATAGAAAAATCCATTGTTAAATCTGGAAATGAGAAATCCTCTTGTAAAACTTTCTCAGTTAGCAGGTAAAGAAAGAGAAGAGTACAAATGGCAAATGAAAAGCCCAAATTAGTACAATAGGTTTGTGGCTATAAATGTTGTCCCTGGATTCCCAGTCAGTGGTTTGTATAGATCATACCTACTGCAGGCTTTCTTAGAAAGGCATGATTTCTGATGTAACTGGAAAGGCTTGCTGCTTTAATGCTAGAGGATTGTCTTCAAGGAATAGTATGACTGAAATAATTGGAAAGGAGATAAAACTGGAGTACAGGAGGACCAACAAGAGAAAGGCACAGAAATGGAGATGGAGATACATCATAAAAAAATGATTAGTTTTGTCAAGCAGTTGATACATCAGTGTGACTGTTTTAGGGCTTTAAATAGGAGAGCAGTGGTAAAAAAAAAAAATGAGAAGAAAGTGAATCACAGAGCGGAGGGTGACAGGGACTAAAAGCTCATTTCTAGGTAATGGGATATATACTGGAAGATGGCTCAGACGACGTGGTTCTGAATCTTGGCTCCATCCACAGCCAGCTGTGAGCCTTTAGAGTCCAGTACTGAAATATGGCAAGAATACTATCTGTTTGCCTTAGTTAGAAATTGTGCTTGGCTAGTCGCAACAAAGCTTAACACTAATGACTTACTAATGAGAAGTCTGGAGCCATGCACTCAAGGACTGACGATTTGGCAGTATAATGTCATCAAGGGTTTTGGCTTATATCAAGCACTCGTCTCCTCATATTTACAAGAGGGCTTTTGAATCTCTTTCCATTGTGTTCATGTCCCAGGTGAGATAGAGGAAAAGGGGTAAAAATCAAATGCCAACTGAATTACTGAATTACCAATTCTCTCTTCTCCTTTAAGGAGTTTTTCAATGATAGTCAACCCAACAACTTTCTTTTGCATCTCCTTTGCCAAAACTTGGATACAAGGACACCGCATCTACAAAGGAAGCTAGCAAATGTCGTTTATCAGCTGGACACAAGGCTGCCTCTTGCAAAAGCAGGATTCTGTTAATAAGAATGAAGGGTGAAAGGATATTAGGCAGTCAAATAGAAGTCTCTGTCACATATCACCTTTCATAGTTGTTTGAGGATTAGGAAAAAATGTAAACTATGTTTAAATACTCAACACATTCTGGAAGTGGGAAAGTTCAGAAGGAGGCATAGTTTGTGGGAAAGGTTGATGAGTCTGCTTTGACATATATTGAACTTGATTTGAAGATGTTGCAGGTGTCTGAAATAGTTTACAAAATCTCAGGAAAAGGATTCAGGCTGGATATTGAGAGTTGGACTGTCTGCATAATAAATGGATAGGGCACAAGCTTTAACTGTTAGAGCAAAAATATGGAAGTAATCTCTCTAATGGGTCACTCCACCATACACTGAAAGAGGCCAAGTATTTCAGGCTGTAATTTGCAGAAACTAGAGGGATCATTGTGAGTCCACACACTACTAACTGCATCGGAAGGTGCACTGAAGTTAACTTTGGTTCATGATTAGAGGAATACCAATTTCTCCCTTTCTCTTCACCCTCTGATTGACTCAGGTATCACACATCTCCCTCTCTAGGCCAGTGCATCTGCAAGAACTGCAAAGAGTATGCTCCTCTGAACTTGTGTAGGGCCTTTCTTCTCTTTTGGCCCAGTCAGCCCTGCCAGATTCTAATTCAAAGACATTTTGCACTTCTCATCCTAGAAAGTGCCCATATTTTCTTTGTTTCTCTTGGTTAAGGGGTTGTTTTTCTCAGGTGACTTTATACCATAGCTGATGCCTCATACATAAAGTCCACTTTTTTATATGTCCAGAAGGGCTGGTAGAAAATAAGGAACCCCTTTAATACTGGGAGATCTCAAGTCCTTGTGATTAAGAAACATAATAACCATCCAGAATGTTCTGGATAGTTTGTCTACTCTTTGTCTAGGTCTTCCATCTCTTCTCAAGTCAGTACCTCATTCTCTCCCCACACCTGCCCCAACTTCTTTCATCATACTCTAGGAGAGCAATTTGTTGGTTTTCTCCTAAATATTTATTATAGGTGGCTATTTTTAAAAATATTTTGTTTATGTACTGTACTTCTTGAAATAGAATGTCACATGCAAGTGTTCCAGAATAATTGCTGAATGCATGAATGAATGAAAGGGAGACATAAGATATCAGCATAATTCACAAATTGCCAAATATGTATAGATATGAGGCTGTGCTATTTAGCTCTAAGTGAAAATTATAGCTATTAAAAAATATACACAATTTATAAGTGGAAGCTACAGAGTTTATAATTTAGAAATGATTGATATTTGAATGATAGAAACTTTGGTGTCCTTCTTCAGAACACAAAGAGGCCTAGGGCAATACCCAGATCCCTAAAAGATTAGAGATTTTTCTATGAGGTGAGTAGAAGTTGGAGACATTAACATATTAAATGAATTCTCAAGTCTGGTATCCTTTATTCTAATGCTGGAACCTTTGGAACTGTTGATAATAGAGGCAAATGTTTTAGTCATTGACTTTAGCTCTGTAGGGAATTAACATGGACTCATTTAAATAGACATTTGTCAAGTTCAAGGCCTTTTTAACTTTCTAAGACTCTAGAAGTCTATTTTTTCCCTGAATATGCAAACATTATCATAGTGATTTGAGAAAATGAACAATTAAGGCTTTTAGTATTGGCTCAATTGATGCATGAGTGCATGAGTATTAAGTTTTATATATATATATATATATATATATATATACCTAAACACACATACATATACACTCAAATGCATTTATGTAGTATGTTAACAATATGAAATATTGGCATATATTGGTTTGACTAATATGGCATTTCAGAGAAGAAAGTCTAGCTATTCTATATAATTGAAAATTAAAATCTATTTGTAACATTAAAATTCTTTCTTGTTTGAATGGCCATGGTGTGGAAAATGGATTGTAGACAGTATGAATGGAAGTACATTGATAAAAAATAAAATAATGCAAAATCTAGGCTAAAGTGGGTAATAACTTGGATTGATAGTACTTGAGAATAGTTGTTGAGAAATTCATTGCAGGGGTAAGGGAGAAAAACAAGTCAAGGACCAATTCTAGATTTTAAATCTAGTGACTGGTGGTGTCACTGACTCAGCTGTGAAAGAGACAGGGAGGAAGTTTGGGAGACTGTAGGAGTTATAACATCAGTTTGGACATCTTATATCTCAGTTCATGTTGTCTATCCATGTGGTGATAGTAAGTAGGTAATTCAATATAGAAGTGTGATGAGCCAAGGAGATTTTATATAAATTTGGGAGTAACCAAAATTATAGAAGTTATTTAAGCCATGGGACTGTATAAGTTGCTAAAGAAAAGTGCTTATATAAAGAAGAGGGGGCCATAGGAGAGGTTTGGGGGAGTTCAGGTAATTAGAGATCATGAAGAGGAGGATGCACCAGCCAAGGTAACTGAAAAGGAACCGATGGTGAGGTAGGAGAGAAACCGGGAAGATGTGGTTTAGTAAAGACAAAGGAGAATGTGTTTTGAGGAGGAGGGAGTGGTCAATTGTAGTACATTTGGGTGAGAGGGAGAGTAGGAAAAGAATGGAGAAGTGAACAATGGATTTGACAATATGGAAGCCAATGATGAACTTGACACAAATGGAGGAAATTTGTTTTTTTAAATAGAAAGCATATTTGTTTTTGATTCAGATAAAGCTGTATAGATGGAAAAGTGTCTGAATCCAAGGAAAAACTTCTTGAGAAGATCAGAGCAGATGAGGTACTCAGCTTAAATGGAATGGTTTGATTTTGATTTGAGTAAAGACACTTGGCTGTAATAAAAAGACGATGAGGAAAGGGTATGGGAAATCTCAAGTAAGATTGATTTTTCCTCTCGTGCCCAATGTAGCACAGATCCTAGAAGTGAGAGTGAGTACATTTTGTACTGCCATTGCCGTTTTCAAACTGTTAATTTTCTTTTTCCTTCATCAACTTTTTTGTGGAATGTGTCCTCAGACTTTATTCAAAATCTTCCATGTTGCTATCAACATACATATGTATTTATATATATATTTGACCATTCTAAAAGAATGTCTTCTCTCTCCTCCTCAAACCACCTTCTCCTTTCTGCTCTCTTATCTGGTAACCTTGTCTCATAAGCCATCGAGAAAATAGAAGCCATTGAAAAATAACCTTCTGATATTCTCCACACCCAAACACCTATTGCAGCACAGAGACAACCATATTTGTTGGTTTATGGTTAATTTTCTTTTTAGTATTTTCTGATACCTCCTCTTTCCTTCTTGAGTTTCTTTATATTATGTAATATAGCAGACTATAAGTGTGTGATTCTATTTAATAGTAGTAGTAGTTGAACTACTATGAAAACATAAAATACTTTCTTAACTTAAATTGGGTATGTGATTATCTGTTTGTACTTTTGTTTGTTTGTCTCATTTGTTTTTGAATGAGACCCCTTCGTTCACCCAACCAGAAAGACTGTGAGGGTTTTTGAAGATAATCATTAATGAGCGAAGGCTGAGTTTTGTGTATGGAACAAATTATAGCATAGTGGAATAAGAATACAAGTGGAGCAGTAATTTTTCACTAATATTTGGACAGCTGATATTTTGAGAAAAGGCTTTTACACACCAAAATGTTCATGCAATTTTAGAGGTTCTACTTTGACACACATCTATGGAAGCCTGGTCAAGACCACTGCGTGAGAGACGCAAAAACAGGGTTAAGATCAGGCTGGTTGTTTTCAAGACAAAAGATGTTACTCAGTATATTTCATTTTAGAGGGACCTATAGCCATGGCCAGGGCTACTAAATCTATTGAAAATGGTTTTTAGGAGCCAAAATAATGATAAAGTGAATTTGAAGGTTATTATGGCATATTCAAATCCAGTGTGAAGATAACTATACTGTGGTGTTTATTTTGTACTCTGGGACAGAAGAGCAAAGACATTACTGATAAACAGATTATGAACCATCTGTTAACATTGGTGAAGGTTTACACTAGGCGTATATTTATGTAACTGATATGACAGATCAAGGAGTCGGCAAGATTGGGTGATTGACTATGCAATTAATGAAATTAGCAAATTATAATTAAACAGGAATGGTGAAGGCTTTTTTCTAATATTCAATTAGGTATTCGATTGACAGAAACACGGACTTGGAGAGATACTTCAATATTGATGCCAACAGTGGAGTTATTACAACCGCCAAATCTTTGGATCGGGAGACAAATGCTGTTCATAATATCACTGTCCTGGCCATGGAGAGCCGTAAGTAGGAAGGTTTAAAATTAAACTAGGATGGAGGACACTGAGAATGGGGAATGGGTTGTCATGAGGTTATAATTTCAACTTGAATACTATTAGCTGCTTATTTGAATTGAGCAAAATATTGAAAATCCCTCATTTCAAGCTGTGAAATATATTTATATTCACTAACTTTCTTTGCTAATACTTGCAAAGTTAATAAGAAGAAATTACTATAAAATGACAGGCCTAAGTTACCCTCAGAGGGCTTCTGTTGTATTATGGTCATGTTTCATATGCTGCATTTATGCTGATATGGAGTTGGTCAAATAGCTTATGAAAAGTAGTAAATTGATCTCTAACAAAATTTCCAGATTCGCATATTGTGATATTGAACTAATTTTTAGTCCCTGATAAGAAAAACATTGAAAGAACAATGTATAATTATATTTTATGCATATTATTCACACATATAGTCTATATTCATACAAATATGAGCACTAGCATCAAATATTAAAATTCATAGTTTATTGGTTATTTTTCTTTCAATGATTTTCTTATCATGGACTAAAAAGCTACATATATATGTATAGACACACACACACACGTACCCATATGTATGACATTTGGATCACATTTTCTCTTGCTCCCTTTAAGGTCTATAATGTTATGATTCTAATTTCATTCGATGCTTGGTCATGTCCTTATTAGAATTGTGCTTTAGAGAGCAAACAATTTTTGGTGGATTCTAATTGTTTTTAATGTGCATTTCCTGAGTAAAATGTCAGTGGAATAACAAGCTTACTCTCAGAGTAACTGATGAAACATTTCCTCTTTATTAGAGAATCCATCACAAGTAGGAAGAGGCTACGTGGCCATCACTATACTCGACATCAATGACAACGCCCCTGAATTTGCCATGGACTATGAAACCACTGTCTGTGAAAATGCCCAGCCAGGGCAGGTAAGAGGCTTCAGAGCACGTTGCTCCTAGTTGTGATCTCTTTGAAAATATCCAGCAGCAGTTGCCTTTGAAATTCTGCCAGCTTTAAGGTAAAATATAATCAGCATGTTTCAGCAAAACTAACACTTTGATGTGGAGCATAAACTAATATTAAAAGAACTTCCAAATTCTGGTTTAATTGGGATGATGAAAATTCCTCAGGAAGAAAAGGTAAACATTATAAAAGCCATGGTAAATGGTTAAGGACTTAGATGCTTTTGAGGAGAAATATGGTTATTAAGCCTGGGCTGTTTCCCACATTACACAGCAGGTTCTAAGAGTTAAGTGCAGTGTAATCTCGCTGTGGTTTATTCTCCTCATCCATATTGTTCAGTGTCTCGTGATGTTTACTGGGATGGTATAATCAATTGGTACAGCTTATTTCTGAGGTTCACAAAGGAGATTCAGACATGAATTTTGAAAAGGACAGATTTGTTTTCCAGAGCCCCTTCGAGATTGGGTTCACATTAGTACATCTAATCCTTCCCCCGGCTCATTCAGGAAGATGGTGTTTATTATAAGGTGTCAAACTGCTCTGTCCTGCCTCAGAAAACACAGCAGAGCACACCAACAGGCTTTCACATTTTACATTCTTTCCCTAGGTTATCCAGAAAATCAGTGCTGTTGATAAAGATGAGCCATCCAATGGACACCAGTTTTATTTCAGCTTAACAACGGATGCAACAAATAACCACAACTTTTCATTGAAAGATAACAAAGGTAAGGTAATATTATTCTCACGGATCGAGGCAGCAGGTACAAACTCTCTAAGCAAGTATTTTTTCTCACACAGGAATGCTGATTACGGATTTTTTTAATAACAGCAAAGACATTAATTAAAGGGCGATGAGCCCCTCAAGTAATTTTTATCTATGGATTTGCCGTCATGAAGAAGAAGCTGCTACTTAAATCGTTTTAGGCCTAAATCCAAATGGGGGGGGGGGAGCCAGATCCATCTCTTTCTGTCTTTTCTTCTAGACATTTGCTTCCTTATTTGTATACCAAGCTCTTTATCCAAATTATCTAATTGGTTGAGAGCCAGCTAAATGCCTTAACAAAGACTATTCTACATAGGTATAACTTGAGACATTAAGAAAATAATTGGACTTTACATGTTTCAACCTAAATCAACTTTGACAATATTTCAATGCTAACATCAGTTATTCTTTTATTTTTAACATAAAAGTAATTCATACAAATAATAAAGACATACTCTTTCTTTTTTTTTTTTTTTTTTTTTTGAGGAAGATTGGCTCTGAGCTAACATCTGCTGCCCATCCTCCTCTTTTTGCTGAGGAGTACTGGCCCTGAGCTAACAGCTGTGCCCATCTTCCTGTATTTTATATGTGGATGACTGCCACAGCATGGCTTGATAAGTGGTGCTAGGTCCACACCCCGGATCCGAACCGGTGAACTCTGGCCCACTGAAGCAGAGGGCACAAACTTAACTGCTATGCCACCAGGCCAGCCCCAACACGTACTCTTGATGCAAAGAAAATATAAAAAAAGAACAACAGAATTCCGTTTCATCCCAAATCCCATTTATCTGCTTCAAAAATAAACATTCTTATCAGTCTTCTAAGTGTCATTACAGAAATATTTTTACAAATCCACCTATAAGTAGATTTTGGTTTTGCCTAATTTATTTATATATATACAGAGAGAGAGAGAGAGAGAGAGAGAGAGAATGAAAGAGAGAGAGAAAGAGAATTATAAGAACTTTTAAAGGAAGCATGTGAACTTGCTATCTATTGTCTAATTTCGAGTGTATATATATTCACAAGGGTTCTCATTCAAGGTATTTCGTTTAGCAGAAGGAGAGCATTTGCAACTGATATAAAGAAAAATAGTATTCCACAACAATATGGAATGTAATTCTTTCATTCAGGTTGAACGTGTGAATCAGATTTCAGAAGAAAGAAATGTAGAAATAGATTTGCTAGTCAAATAGTGGCTTATCCGAAAGGAATTTCTCTCGGAAGAGGGACATTCTAAGTGCTTTAGCCTGGAGCCACCATTTTCTTTAGTGCAGAAAATCCAACTTTGACCTCAAAAATTCAATCTGAAAATAATAATTTTTCCTGACCCCATTCATTGTTTAATGAGAACACTATCTTGTCCCCTTAGTGATATAAAAGGAAGAGCATTTTCTATGTGGGTAATCTCAAACTCTGACTTTATCAAAGTTGAAAGGGACATTTCTCAGCACTTGTATTCATCCAGCACAAATGCGCAGAAGAGAATTTATGGCCTTCCCAATAAAAGAATGAATATTTCCCCCATGTGTCATCATCTAGTACCACCGTGGTTGTTGGACAGCACATGCACTAAAATGTCTGGATTTTCAGGACATTCACACTGCCGCTTGATTGAAAGATATCTTCAAGTTAAGCCCAGAGTTCCCTAGCTTGTATCTTGAAGGAAAACATCTAGGAAGGAAGGAAATTCGTTCTTCTCTTGGCTTCCATCTTAGGAAGCACATACAGATAATGATGAATTTTATGATCTCTTTCCTGAACATAGGGTTCTCTTCTCATGTGTTGGGCATTTCAGCATGTGGTCCTCAATTCGTTTTGTGTGTGTATGTGTGTGTGATTTAATGTCAGGCATTTTAGGTTACAAATCAATAACTTTGAAAAAATTTTGTGTATCAAATCATAAATATGGATAACATCTGAATGTTTGGGAAGTAAAGACAGATGTGTGTGTGCGTGTGTTATTGTTGAATGTATGGAAACAATCTCAAGACAATATCCTTCAACAACTCCATGTGTAGTTTTTTAATGAACACCTCTCAAATTCATATGTTTTAAAGTAAAAGATTTGTGTACATGAAAACCTACCAGATAGAATCTGAAAAGTGAACAGATTTATTCCTGCCACATTGATAATTGCAGGTTATACATTTTCTGCATTTTCACGTGGGCTTGTTTTGTGCTGCTTGAGATAGAATACATTTCAGCTTGCTCTTTCATTAAAGTATTGTTAATTCTTTCATGATAACGTTGGATAATTATCTCTTTGACAGTTTGGAAATGAGACATATATTAAAGCACATGGGATTAATCTATGATCCTGGTTTCCCTTCTATTCCTTCATATTTTCATTAGTTGCTGTAAATGTAAAGAATCACATAAATTCTCTAATTAGTTAATTGAGACAAGTTAGCTGGATAAATTCCTAGCAGATAAAAAAATCCATTTGTGATATAGAAATCATAGATATGTGATACAGGCTTATTGATCACTGTTAAAAGTTTCATAATTACTGTAATTGTTTAGATGAAATAGAATATTGAATATAAATTAAACACAAATGACCTACTTTATCACAGACAAAACGTCTGTTTATGTGGGGTTTGGTAACTATGGATTTTTTAAAACTATACAATAATTCCTCTTTTGAATATCTATGCATATAAAGCTAGAATGGCTTATTTTACTTGTTTTGATATTGGGCTTGGAATTTAACAAAGAAAGGATGGATCGGAAATTCCATCTGTGCTGTCTGATGATGCTGCAAAAATATTAAATCTGTTAATTTTTACCATCCTCTCAATAAGTGTATGGTTTGAAATTTGAGATAAGTAAAAGAGGGTACTAAATGTAATTTTTACAGAGTTGCAGTTCATATAATAAGTGATGTATAAACATTTTCATATTCAGTTTTACTTTCTAACTATTTCTTTGGTTATAACGGTGTAGGATGACATAAATGTATTAAAATAAACCAAATGTGGAAATATGGTTCTCTGTCAAAAGAAACTAAGCAGAGTGACTTTAAAGTTTAGCAGGACTGAGTCAATCGGAAATCGTGTGCCCTATATTTGCTCTTTATCCTAGACAACACAGCCTCGATTCTCACCAGGAGAAATGGCTTCCGGAGACAGGAGCAATCTGTTTACTATCTGCCCATCTTCATCGTGGACAGTGGCTCACCTTCACTCAGCAGCACCAACACCCTCACCATCCGTGTCTGTGACTGTGATGCGGATGGGATAGCGCAGACCTGCAACGCCGAGGCTTACATCCTACCTGCCGGCCTTAGTACAGGAGCCCTGATCGCAATACTCGCCTGTGTCTTGACGTTACTGGGTGGGTACTGTTTTCAGTGCTTGTGCTGTAACAGCAATCACACCTGTATATTGTGACTTTTCTCTCTTCCCTTCCATTCCTTTTAGTACCTTTTCAAGAACACATGCAAATATTTTATTCAATGGTGTTTTGCTCACTGAGCAAGCCATGATCCTTGGCACACTTTCCAGTGGTATATTTAAAATATAACTCAGAAAAAATATCAATTTCACCTTTAAAACAATGGTGAAAATTAGTGGCTTATGTTTAAGGTTGAAGTTTTTTAAGATTTTTTTTTTTAATTTGCCATATCCCAACTGTTTGCTTTAGAATACTCTACAGAGGAGATAGACTAGACTAGAGAGAATCTTTTCTATGTTGTTTGGATAATATGCTTATTTTAGAATTTATGGCTTTGTATCCTACCTCTTTTCAGAAAAGATTTAAGGCGGATTTTATAATTATTTGCAAATTTTAAAAGATTGCAATTTCAGCAATGCAAAAGTTTTAATTTCCCAAGAAGAACCAACATATTTAATTATGCTTTCTATGATTACTTTATTATGTGGTTACATTAGATTTATAACTCATATTAGAATTGTAGTTTTATAAGAGATTATGCAGCATCCTTTTAAAAATTGGGAGACATCCAACATGGGCATGGGGTAATGGGTTTATTGCTTAGCTACATTCCCCTTCACGGTATAACTTCCTACAGCAAGGACAACAAGCATTTAATATCGCATCTGAGACTCTGCTGTGTGTTTTCTTGGGGTTTAATATAATTTGTAAATCTATTTATAATATATTTTTGGAAAAGCAGGATTCAGCTATGGGACTCATCATTCTGTAATGTTTAAAAACAAGATTTATGGAGTTAGGTAAACCTAGCTTTTATTACTGCCGCCAAAACATACTAGTTCTTCACCAGGGGGACGTTAATTCTTCTAAGCTTGGCTTCTTAATCTAAAAGGGGAAAATAATAGAACTAGACTCGTAAGGTTGTTGTGAAAATTAAATGAGATAATTCATGTGCCTACCACAGAGTGAGCATTCAATAAATTTTAAGTGTTATTGATGAAGCAAGTTCTCAACCTATTAACTAAGCTAAGACTTAGTTCCTAATACAGTATAAAGGACCTCATAAAAATGGAAGCTATTATCTTCAATAATTTCAGCTAACCAAGTAAACCTAGAAGGGAATAAACTATTTTTTTTCCCATATAGCTTCACACAGGTGGCAGAAACATTCAGAAATTCATTAGAAATGTCAAGAAATTCCCAGTTAAAGGCTGATTTGAATATAAGGGACTAGAGTAAATTTTGAAAAAGATGAAACCATTACAAACTACTTTTTCTTGCTCTATCAGCTTCCAAAACATAATAATAAATACGTGAATTGCCTGTTTATTTTATAGTAGCTGAATAACCTAGATAAAAAGATGAAGATTTTCCTTCATATTTAAAATGGCAGTGTCTTTAGCTTGAAAGCATAGAGTCAAAAAAAAATGAGGGGCTAGGTAGATGATGTGTGGAGAACTCTTTTTGAACTTAACTTGACCAGTTTATCACAGACAATTTAAATTATACTGTGTCCTTCAAAGAAATAAGATCTGTTTATCACAAACAATTTAAATTATACTATGTACTTCAAAGAAATAAGATAAAATTGTATTCCCCAGAATTGAATCATACCCAACAGTTAATTAAATTTTGATTTTTTTTAAGGCTGTCTATCTAACGAAGCCTGCTTCATTTTTAGAAAATACTTTCACCTGTGACTTCAGGATTCCTTGCAATTTAGGTTGCTTGGCAATTTTAATTGTTAAGAATCATTGCCTAGCTGTTACTGAAAGTAAGGGAAATAGAGTTTTTTTAGATCTCATTCTTGCATATGATATAAATGAGTGTGTGTGTATATACATATATCTCAGAGTAAGATTATAGTTTAGGGGATTTTGTCACAATTTAGTTAAGTATGACTACTCTTTTTGTTAAATTTGAACATTTTCCCATTTAAACAGACACCAGGTTAGGAATGCCACTTCTAAGGATCAGGTTTTTATGTCCCATATTTTATTCATTTTTCAAAAGTTCCTGCAAGTCTGCAAAAACGTAAGTCAAGACAGAACCTATTGTACTAAACTGTAGTTTGGAACTGCGGGCTTCTGCCTACAGCTTCCATTTCCCAGTAAGGACTCTGCCCAGTAATCAGTATGTTCAAATGTTAGCATCTCAGTACAGAATGAGTCTCCTTGTGCCTTATTTCCTAAGTCTTTAGAAGCAATAATCAGGACTTTTTATACTCTTTTGGTTCTGTCTCCTCTGCTGTAGACTCTGGGTTCTCACGATAGGTGCTGAGGTCAGTGGGATCGAGTCCTCGGAGTGGGGTGCGGATGGGGTGCACAGCCTGGCATGGAACTTGACTTTTAGTGCCCAAGTGACTCATTCTTGACAACATCTCCGGAAGTGTTGTGAATCTTATTTCTAGGCAAAAGGTATCAGAATTCGTAACTCAAAACTTTTCAGGCTTCAGAACAAATATTCTAGAAGAAAACGCCAAGTGAAGAGGCAGGAATGGGGAATAAGAACTTGAGAATCAAGTTCAGTTTAAGGATGAAGCTAGAAAAGCAGCTGGGCTTTAGACTCCTTACGAAAGCATGCCTACTCCATGCCAAGTTCGTGTTCCTGTGATGTGACAAATTAAAGCTACTTGTACCGTGACAGACGGGGATGCTCTAGAGTTCCCAGAAGGTTAATGCTGGAAGGCATCACAGAAACCAATTCCAGCCCAAACCTCAGGTACAATTAGGTTCAAGGATTTTTCAGTTCATGTAACAAGTTAGTGGCTGTTAATGCATAAGGTTCTGTCTCCTTATTCTCAGTCACGGCCTTTGGATTAAACTACAAAGGAAACACACCTTGAAAATATAAAAAATGGTTGTTCATATGTAGTCCTTTCTTCCTCAAGATTTGAAATTTACGGTATCTGAAGTTGTATTTGTCAGTCTTCACCTATATCCGTATTCTCACATTATGGTGAGCTCTTTTCTGATTTCTGTCTATTGTCACCCTCTCTTTTTCCTTTGTTTGCACCTGAATTCTCTAAATGATAGAGATGATCCAAAAATTAGAATATGAGCTTTCCTTTACACCAAGTACAACCTGAATGGGAGACATTATTGTCATATTCAAAGTTCATGATAAAGTTATCGAACACGTGTCTCAGTTATTTCTCATGTAGAAAAATTTCATCAATCTATGGCAAGAGACTCAAGTATTCTAATGCTTGGATAAATATTTTCCACAACTCCAACATCAAATTTAATATGCATTTTTATCATTGTTAAATTCATCATTATTTATATATAGTTATTTTTCAACTAGGCTGAAAGCACTTGAAAAAATCAAATTCCTTGAATAACTGACATTAAATTATTACTTCAGTGGATTTTAGGAAATAATCAGAAATAATTTTCATTGTTTTAAAATGTGTCAATATTAAATATTGCACATTTATTTAGAGAATATTATAGCTAGTTTCTTTCTGTTAGTCTGCACAAGGAAGCTTTTTCCTGCACGCTAAAACTGTCACTGAATTTACTATGAAGTTTTGTTTTTTCCCTGTTTGGACCTTTAGGTCCAAGTAATTGAAGTCCTATAACTTCCCCTCTTCCTCTTGGCTCTTGAGTCACTATTCGGATTAGTTAGACTGGCCACCTTCAGGTTTCCATAAGGCATTTCTGGAAACCACTCTTCACTACATGGAATTCAGGCTCTTCCAGTGTGTCCAGGAGGGCCCTTTGGCGGTTAGCTGTCATGCATCTTTTCACTTTTCTTGCCTGATCTACTAAGTACTAAACCGTATTTGCTCTCCCGTTACTATGGCCACTCATGATTTTGTACAAAAATATTTTCCTAGTTTTGTAAATGACAGTATTACCTAAGTAAAAAATATATTAGATTGCTGATAAGAAAAATGATAACAGTATGTAAAAGATGGGTTCCTATCATAATCTATAACAATAGAATATATTCGACATAGCAGTCCTAGCGATAATAATGGGCAGACTACAGAGGCTAATTTATGGTAGCAGATGTGTTCTTTCAAACCAGTGCAAGCATACTAAAAAATGATTTACATTTAATGAGCTTGTACTAAGTGCTAGACATTAGCTACGTGCTTTACAAGCATTATCTAATCTAATTCTCATATCACATTTCCTAGGCAAGTATTATTAAGTATTAGTATTATGCCCACTTTTTGTATGTGAAAACTATAAATTAAAGGAGATGTGCACAAAGTTATAGGGTGTCAGAGCCAGGACCCAAACACGGACAGGGCTGCTTTCTGAATTCCTTTTTATTTTTAAAGTATTTTTCCCTATGTGTTTTCCAATATGAAAGACCTGTGAGGCTCTGGGAAAGGCCTGTGGGTCTGAGGGTGTGGCAGTCCAGGTGCTGCCAAATTAGAGGCACCAGTGTCTTTGATGTGTTTCCATTGTAGCTTTATGGCCTCTTTGGTTAACTTTGAGAGTCTCATTTAAAGTCTCCTCTAATTACTTCCAAACTTAAGAAAATACGTTTACAATTGTGTAGCTTAAAATTTGAGATTATACTTCAGTACAACCAAAATATAATACACCAGTTGTCTTTGTGGATAAAATATTCATTGTACTTAGGTCGAGTTTTCTGTCTTACTCGAGACTCAAATGAAACCATTCTAACTCGCATATTTAACGGAGAGGAACTTTGTGATAGTACTTGTTTTGGGGAAAGGGAAGATCAATTTCAGTTGTAATTAAACATTTCCCTGTCTGGAGGCATGGAAAGCAGTAGCCCCTTTATGCAGATGATTTGCAAAGCTCTGGTTCAGATCTTCACAGCAGATCTAGATAGGCATATTCATTGTTCGACTGGACTGCTGACATTAGGAGTCTGAAATTATCACATACTGAACAATTTGTCTACATTCCAGCCTCTTTTCCTGATTTAGTCAGCCTTCACTCTGTTCCATCCTC